AAGAACATATCTAAGTCATTGGGAGATCATTAATATATTTCCCCAGAAATATTAAAATAATTTTGAAAAAAACTCTGAAATGCACTTACCATGAATTCTTAGATATAAGAGCATTTAAAATACAGTTGTGAAAAGCAGGTACAGAATAGCACCCAGGAGTCATCTTGACTGTAGGGGGAGAACAAAGCATACATAAAAACAGCATAGCAAAATTTATCCTGCAAATTTACATGCCCAGGCATAAAAATTATGAATCCACCCTTTGATAAAATTTATTTATTTTTTTAATGCTTATGAAAAAGATAAAATCATTCAGCTCCTGTGGGATTCTGCAGGGTTTTCTGTGAGAATTAAGTTGAACTGTAAAGAAATATTGCCTTGAGCATGTAGTTGTTTCTGAATGAATGTCAAGACACTTTACCAGCTCAAAAACATTATTTTATAGGTACCCAAAAATATGTTTAAGGCAGAACACTCTACAAAATGGAATCGTATGTTTAAAATGAAGAGTGGCTAGACCCTGCAGTGAAAAATTGAGCAGTCATTTGAGAAACTGATTCTGTATGCCATCTTCACACTTCTGGAAGGAAGTAAAGAATGATATGAAAATTTTGCAAGACCATTAAAATAGCAGGAATCCCTAATGAAAATATGGGAATTGAGATTTGTGGGTTTTTTCCCCATCTTTCTAAGAATTGAGGTGATAATGAAGGCAGCTACACAAAATTTAAATATCTTGAACATTGTAGAATTGAGGAAGGCAAATTTTATTTCATGTAAGGTTAGCCTGCAGCAATTATTCTGTCCCAAAGTTTCTGAGCAATGCCATCCAGATACCTTATTTGTGGCGTGTACATATCCAGGTAAGCAGTTTCGGTCATTTTGTGCAGGAGTTACATTTGAAGGAACAGAGTGGTGGTGGTGTTGTTTCTTTCATGATCACCATCTTGATTTTAAATGTGCTCATCATTAAACTCTGTGCATGTTTTGGGGGACTGACACAAAGAAAAAAATTACCATATGGAATAATGCTGGATCCTTTCTCCCTTTTGATTATATGTATATCACCCTCCTTAGTCAAAAAATAAGCGGCAGAGCACAATAGTGTATCGTGGAAGCCAATATAGTCTTTGGATTAAACAGACTTCAGAATTACCTCACCCTCCACAGAGAACACTACCTTCAACTTTCTGGAGGACAGATCTAGCAACTGTTAACAAGAGAGCCTGAGGTAGTTTCAGTTGCGGTGATTTGTGCACAGAAGGAGATGATTGTTTCTGGGATGTCTATGCTACATTTGCAAGTGTGACTACACGTGCCTAGTAGTAAAGACATAAGTTTTACTAGGCCCATTATAAACTTACACAGGGGCTAGTCTACACCGAAGTGCATGCTACTGGGTGTTCATTAGATTACTTTGGTATATTTACACCTGTACGTAGACAAACCCTGATGTAGCCAGCACCCAAATCATGTAGGGTGTTAAAGATTTTAGGTGTAGATATAATCTTTTTCTGTTCAGCCCTGAGTTCCAGAAGTGGTTGTCAACATTCAGCAGTAGTTGAAATATTCTAAATTGTTTTCAGCAATAGGCCTGTGTGGAGCTATCTAATTGTGGAGATCACGAAATCATTAATTACTGGATAATCTAAAGCCAAAGAGAAATTGCAAATCATATATTAACTTACAGTCAGCTGCAAAGAGCCTTTTTGGCCCTTTTTACTACATGTGAACTTAGGATCCTGAAACACTCCCGGGTATACACCTCACTAATCAGTTTTTGCTGTTGCTTCTTAATAACATGAGCAGACCACATCAGCTATACTTTCCAAATCATTTCTCCTGTTTCTCTCCCAAGTTGTCTAAAGCGCATTTCAATCCATCTTAGGCAGGCAAAGTTTAGATTTGGATTCAGTAAAAGACCTAAAGCTTATTGCAATCTTGATAGCACTGTAGCCTACATGGTCTCACTGTCTGCCTTAGTGGTGGTATGAATATTTGGAGCACAATGCAAGAAAGAATGGAATGACAGAGGCCTTGGGGCAGATGAGCAATTGACAGAACACACTCCTGAGATCACTTGGAGTGGAAGGATGGGAACTGAACTGTGATTCCATCCATCATCTGCCAGAGACTATAGGTGAGCTGACAAAAACAAACGAACTCTTGAAAGAGTCATAGGTTGCTGAAATTGTCATCATACAGAAGGAAGAGATTATTGACCAATAAAATAAGTGAACTCTGACCGGTATCAAAGACAAAATCCAGGTTTACAAGGAACTAAAGGATACCTGGTATGCTTTGCCTTATTTGCTTCTCATTCATCTTATTGAAAGATTTAAGGTTGATATTTATGATAAATACTTGGAGATTGTCATCATGGAAAAGTAATTGTGAATAAACTGTACAATCCATTATGCTGTAGAACTGGGCACCTAACTTTTAACTGTATTGTTTGCACTTTGCAGGTATTTTTAACTGTATTAGTTTTTGGTATTTTTATATTTTGTTATGCACTATTGTTAGAAGACCTCTGTTTTTATCACTAATACAAAATATGTGTAAGGGATATATTTGTTTTGTTTGGTAGAATCAAAGTGCAGTATAACCAACCCTATATGTGCATCTTCAGCAAATAATACTTTAAATTGTTTATGCAGGTACAGAAGGCTTAGGGTTTAGTATCACTTCAAGAGATGTACCAATTGGTGGCTCAGCTCCAATTTATGTGAAGAACATCCTTCCCAGAGGTGCAGCCATTCAAGATGGGAGACTAAAGGCTGGAGACCGATTGATTGAGGTGATGCGATATTACATGTTATTTCAGAAAGCCCTCTGTATTTTCTATATGCGTCAGCTGTCTTCATATTTTGGTAATGTTGTAGCCATGGTGCTGTACCTGTGAGAGTGCATTGCATTTGAAACCTTGTCTAAATCTATCTCAGCTATTCAGTTGGTTCAGTAAAAGATATCACCCACACAAATGCTTTCTTTATCACAGGAAACTATTTGTATGATTTCTTTTTTGTTAAAAATTGTATGCATACTTCATTTGTAATATGTTTAAAGATAAAAAATAGATCCAGCCCAATTAAGAGAGGGAAAATTTAAAACTCTGCACCAAATTTATTTATACCACTGCAGTATCTTTGCTTCATTAATGATGAAAATAACTTTTACAATCTATTTGAATTTATATGAAACGCTCTTTAATTCTTCATACTATAACATTTTTTTCACTAGCTAAATGTTATAACATTGAGAGTGGTAATCAATGGAAGTGAATCATCATGGTGCTCCATGACCAGTGATGTTCCCCAAGGCTCCCTCCTTGGACCTATACTCTTTAATATCTTTATTAACAATGTGGACATTGGTGTCAGAAGCGGACTGGCCAAGTTCGCTGATGACACCAGACTTTTGGGGTATAGCGTCCACACCTGAGGATAGGCTGGTGATCCAGGCCGACCTTGACAGGCTTAAAAAATGGGTGGATAGAAACCTGATGACCTTCAATACGGAAAAGTGCTGAAAGGTACTCCACCTCAGGGGGAAAAAATCCCCATATGATGCTTATAGGCTCAGCAGTGGTATGCTTGCTAGACCCATGGCTGAAAGGGACTTGGGGGGTCATGGTTGATCACGAGATGACCATGAACCATCAATGCAATGTTGCAACTGGTAAGGAGAACCAAACTTGAGATGCTTCTCAAGCAAATGTCAGGATGTCATCCTCCCGCTGTACTTGGCCTTGGTGAGGCCGCAGCGGGAATACTGCATCCAATTCTGGGCTCCACAATTTAAAAAGGATGTGGAAAAGCTTGAGAGAGTCCAGAGAAGAGCCACGCCCATGATTAGAGGGCAAGAGAGCAGGCCTTATGGTGAGAAGCAGAGAACCATGGGACTCTTCAGCCTGGAAACCGCAGGCTCAGGGATGACTTAGTGGCTGCCTATAAGAATATATATAAGGGGTGTACATCAGGATCTGGGGGCATGCCTGTTCACCTGAGCGCCCCAAGGGATGACAAAGTCATACGGTCACAAACTCCTCCAAGACCGTTTTAGGCTGGACATAAGGAAAAACTGCTTTACTGTCTGAGCCCCCAAGGCCAGGAATAGACTCCCTCCAGAGGTGGTGCAAGCACCTATTCTGGACTCTTTTAAGAAACATTTGGATGCTTATCTTGCTGGGATCCTTTAACCCTAGCTGACTTCCTGCCCTTGGGGCAGGGGGCTAGACTCGATGATCTTGTGAGGTCTCTTCCAGCAATGAATAGCATTGCTTACATATTGAAGTAAAAAAAAAAAAAATCTCCAAGTAGAATTTTTCTTTAATTATCAATTATTTCAAAATTTATCAGAGAGCTAGATTGTCACATACAAGCCCTGATTATCTCAGTGGCTTGCCATCTACTCACTGGTGGAAAGTAGGCAACTTTCTTCCATCCATTCCTTATCCATGCCCACACTTCTTCATACCAGATCTATGCCCTGTGGGGAAACAGAGGAGGTTTCTCATGAATAAGTAGAAGGAAAAAATGTAATTTTTCCCACAGTTATTTGAAAATGGGGAGAAGGTGGGGTTGGAGTAGAATATTTTTTCCATTAAATTATGTAAACTTCTAAGGCACAACTTTTAGTTCAAAATATTCTGGACAAACAACAACCCCTGTAAGGCTGTAGACAAAAGAAAGGAGGACGTATTTTTTCCTGCTGTTTGGAAGTAACCATGAATCTGGACTTTGTAAAGATGTGACTAGTCTTTGAATGCCAGGGAAAGGTCATTGCTTCCCTTTGTCCTAAAAAAAATTAAGGAAGACAGGCAGACAGGCAAAAGGTAAGAGCATATTTTTCTCCTTTTTGAATAGGCATTTTAAAAAGGTGTGTGGGCCTTGGTGACTGAGTTTGCTCAGGCAATGTTAGGGGTGGGGTGATTTTTGTTTTGGAATAGGTTCTTGGAGGCTTGTAGTCTATTAGAGAAGTTGGTGGTTGGTTTTCAGTGATTTTTTCAGTGTGTAAGATTGCCTTCTTAATGGCCAGATCTGGATCTAGGGAAGGGAGAAGGGAAGGAAGGAGCTTGGAAGAAGGAAATGGAGAAATAGGGAATGATAAATATGTGATGAGTAACAGGAAACTAGGGGAGAGAGCTATTCAAAGCATATGTATGTTAACAGTTCAGCTTCTTTACTGTCGATCCCTTCTGCTCCTGCACAAAGATTGGTGGTGCTTGAGTTCATTTTAAGCTAGAGGTTCACATTTTATTGCTCATAAGACTGGAATTAACTGGTGCATCAACTACAGTGCCCTGTTATCAACAAGCAGTCAGCTTAGTCAGCTTTTTTCTAATATCAGCTTATATTTATCTCTCATGTAACTCCATTAGACTCATTAATTTATCAGGTGATTAATTTTGGCCTATTGTCTTTGTTTAGATTAATTGCTGCTTCCAGAATGAGATGGTCTTTCATTCAGTTTTTCAATCTTGTCACTTCTGCATTTTGTATCGCCATATTTGTTGTTTCTTTTTCCTCCATTCAGGGAGATGTTTTATAGTTGTTACTGTCAACTTGTATAACAACCATTTGGTAGGAAATGCCATATAAGAATTGTTGGTAATTTTGTCTGACTGCCACATGCATATAGTTGAGCATTTCCAAAATGAATATAATATACACTTTCTTTTTGATAGGCCAAATGAAGGGCAAAAAAAGATTTAATCCCCCCCCCCCATCATAGCTACATGGAGCAGGACAAAACCTCATCTTCAGCTGACTTATCCTCCCGTTCCTGCTTAACTACAGTTGAAACACTAGCTGCTGCTGAAGACTGGTCTCCATGGATGGATCTATGATTTTGGAAGAGCTAAAGAGTCTCTAGGGCTCTAAAATTAGTGGGGAAGAGAACCTAGGAACAGCTAGCAGGAAACAAAATTCCCCCGAAAGAGTTAGCTTGATTAGTGGAACCTCAAGACCAGGGGTGTCCAACCTTTTTGAAGGATCAGGAACTTTTTATCACCCAGTGGGCTGGCGAGCCATATTCAAACACCCTCTGTCTGGGGCCAGATGGACCCTGCCTGTGTAGCCCTACTGCACCTGCCTGTTACTGCAAGTTTCATGGTAGCTGCTGGTGGGCAGGGGCAGGAGGGACCCATTCTACATCCAGCCAGCTACTGCCCCAGAGACTGAAGGGGAGAAATAAATAGCTCCACATCCTCGTCCCCCGAGCAGTGCAGCCCCATGAGCCAGTGCTGCCTGAGGGGGGCTGGAGTGAGGTGGCCGCTGCACCGCAGCCCCTCACCCATCTGCCCACACGGCCCCACTCACCGTGGTGCCTGGCCACCCATGCACACAGCCCCGGTGGCCTCAGTGCTGCGAGCCCGAAGCATGAGGTCTGGCAGACACCGGCTCCTGCCGCTTCACCCTGCAGAGGTCACACCAGGACCCTGCCTGCCGAGGCCCCCCCTGTGCTGGCTTCCCACGTGCTCCTGGGGACAGAAGGAGGCCGGGCAGGTCAGCACCAGCCAGCCAAAGTGGCGGCAGAACCATGTGGCGCTCGGGACTGACCGGTGCAGGCAGGGGGAAAATGCAGCTGAGCCCCTGCCGCTCCAGCCGGGTTCTCTGGGCTCATCCTGTCCTGAGAGGCACATGGCTACTTCTCTTCCCACACATACTGCATCGGCAACATCAAGCTGACGCGGTGTGTGTGGGAACCTTGTCTCTTCCACAGCCCTTCAGCAGCCATTAGGAACAAAGGGTGGGAACGAAAGTAAACAGTGTTTACTTTCATTTTCCATTGCAGCACTGAAGGCCACAGAAAATGTCTTGGCGGGCCGCATGGTGGCCTGTGGGTCGTATGTTGGACAAGCCTGCTCAAGAGCATTAAACCCAAGAGAAAATTGTTAATACATTTGAAGTGAAGAACAATGAGCCACTGGTCCGGTCCTGCAGGGAGCAAACCAGGAAAGTCAAGGCTGCAACTGAACTCTAAGTAGCCTTGAGGTACTCAAGGAGCTGGCGAGCATCATAGCCCAGCCCCTGGCACGGATCTTTGAAAACTCCTGGCGCTCTGGTGTAGTGCCCAAAGACTGGAAGAAGGCCAGCGTGGTGCCGATCTTCAAGAAAGGAAAATGGATCTGGCTAACTATAGGCCCATCAGCCTGACTTCTATCCCGGGGAAGATCGTAGAAAAGTTTATTAAAGAGGCCATCCTTAATGGTCTGGCTGACACCAACATTGTAAGGGATAGCCAGCATGGGTTTGTTGTGGGTAGGTTTTGCTTGACCAATCTCATTTCCTTCTATGACCAGGTGACCTATCACCTGGACAAGGGAGAAGAGTTTGATGTCATATATCTTGACTTCAAAAAAGCCTTCAAGCTGGTATCCCATGATCACCTCTTGGCAAAACTGGCCAATTGTGGCCTTGGGTTCACCACGATCTGCTGGC